TCATCCTCTGTTTCCATGCTGGCTGGAAATGATGATGGTTGTAGTCAGCAGAGCATCAAGTTATGGGAGGCTAGTCTTGATTGGTAGCAGCTCTCCAGGTTGTAAAACAAATTATTTTTTCCCCCAGTGCTTATCCAGAGAGTCCTTGAGCTGGAGTTTTACTACAGGAGAAGCTTTCGCTAAAGCCCTGAGTCATAATTCTTTAAAAGTGGAGAGGGAATCATACAAGTCCTATTCAGTTTTGAAGTCTGGTCATTTCTGAAGGATGCCTGTCCCTTCTGTTCTTCTCTTGTTATCTCTCTCTGTTGAGGCTTTAGTTTGCTTTAGATATGGGATTCCCTGGGTGCAAAGAGGGGTGTCTGATCAATGTCTTGATTCATTCCCCTTTCCTTTTCACATGGGCATCCTCCCCCCCCCAAACTAGGGCCCGTCAGCTGCTGTTTACAAGGCTTAGAATAGGCAGCTGTTGGAAGGGACATTCCAGCAAAGGATTATGGGAGCAGCTGGCCTCCAGCCCTTTCACACCCACACACATGTCTCACCCCCTAGAAACAGAGGAGGGCAATGGGCTTGGTTCCTAGGAAACAGGGGAAGATTCTTGTGTCCGATTCCTAAGACACTGCTCAGAAAAGATGGGTGATTCCTTGGGGGATGGGGTGGGAAATGGATCCATTCGAAATGTAGTGCTGGAGGAGAGCTTTGTAGATACCCTGGACTGCCAGAAAGAGAAACAAGTGGCTCCTAGATCAAATCAAGCCCGAATGATCTCTGGAGGCAAAAATGTTGAAACTGAGGCTATTGTTATGACAACATCATGAGAAGGCAAGATTCTCCAAAAAGAAAGATGGAATTCTGGGAAAGGTGGAAAGCAGCAGGAAAAGAGGAAGACCCAAATATGAGATGGACTGACCCATAAAGGAAACCACAGGGTTGAGTTTACAAGAGCTCAGCAGGGCAGTTGAAGACAGGATATTTCGGAGATGGCTCATTCATAGGGTTGCCTTGACAGCACAGAACAACAACAATAGTTGTGAAGCAGTTCCCATTCTTCATAGAATATTGGCCTTTTTAATATAAAAAAACAGTATTTTGTGTGTGCATGTGTCATGCAAGAATCAGTATTGACTTGTCCAATGTCATGTAAGGTGTGATGCCTCACCTCAGCTATTTGGCAGTCCCAGTCGATATTGAATGCAAGCTTTACAATCTCTGTTTAGGGGCTAATAATTGTCTGTTTGGGACTAATGTCACGATCAGGGATTCCCATAACAGAAGTATAGCCTATCAGGTTAGAGATGGAAGAGAAGAGCTTTTTAGTTGCATTTCGGGGTGAAGTTGTCCAGTTTTGTTTGCCTTTTCTCCAGTTAAGGGGAGAAATCATACATTGCTCACTTCCAAGTTCCCTTTGTTCTCCCAACAACCCTGTCAGGTAAGCTAGATTTACGAGAGACTGTGGTTTGGTCCGAGTGAGGTTTTTGTGAGGGCTGGACTGGATCTTCCAACCTCCCAATCCAGTCTTCAATCAGCATACCACAGTGGGTCTTCTTGAGCACACGCCAGAATACATTGCCAAAATAAATTCCATAGGGTTTTTTTTTTTTTTTGCAGTTTGTGGTATCAGTTGCAAAACATAAACTAAGAAATAAATTAAAAAATCAGAAACCCACCCCCTAGTAAGCTATAAACCATAGAACACAAGTACCAAAATAGAATCAAGACAGAGGTACTGAGGGTGGGCGCCCCCACAGTTGGGGGCCTGGGAAACTCCCTCTCTTTTGGGGGGGTGACTCTTGCCACCAAGGACGGGGACCGCAGGTTGGAGATCCATCTGGACCCGGCGCTCACTATGGAAACTCAGGTGGCGTCGGTGGTCCGTACCGCCGCCTTTCACCTTCGGCGGATAGCCCAGCTGTGGTCCTATCTCGATGTTGGGGCGCTCACTACTTTGGTGGATGCGCTC